GGCTCTCAAGAAACAGTGCTTCCTTTCTCTGATTTAACCAGAACCAGTGGGGAAGAAAAAAAATACATGTAATTCAGGAATGATTCTTTAATTATGTCCAATATTTCTAAACTGGTTACTTCTCTTTCTTTGGCCCTTTCCCATTTCTGACATTTCACTTCACCCTCACCTCTTGGATCTAACTGGAATGCTTCCTGAAGGAGGTCCTATTTGAACTTGAGGCCTGAGTGGGGAGGAGTTGGCAATTTGTCAGAGAGGAGGGAAAAGGGGCTTGTGGCTGTACGCGTTTTATACACAGCCCGTGAGGGTGTTGATGTTTTAAATCCTGAGATTCTTAGAAGTTGAGAAATAACCTGCTCAGCAGTCACTGCTTAGTGAGCTTAGGAGATTGTTTTCCTCCCTCTGGTCGCATCCAATCCCAGCATAGCTTGTGGAACTGGGCTAGGAGATACAGGCTTTGAAACTGGAATCCTCATGGAGTGCTTATTGTGTGTCAGGTATTGTCCTAACGCTCCATGAGTGTGAATCATTTAATACCCCATGAGGTAGTACAATTATTAGCTCCATTTTACATGTGAGGAGGACACAGAGGCACAGAGAGATTAAGTGACTTGCCCAGGAACTTTCTGGGAAGTGTTAGAGCTGGGCTTTGAATCCAGCAATTGCTGTTGCCCTACCAGGTAGGATGAGCCCCTCTGGTAGAGGAAGCCTCACTTTGATTAGCTTTCCTTTCCACACAGCCACAAAATGAAAAGTGGCAACTTAGGTATTTTCTGTGTTTACTGGTTTCTGCCTTGCCCTGCTATATAGAAGTATCTCTGTGATGGAGGATGGACTTGTCTTCGATTATGAGTGGGGAAGGAGAGTTGTGTTAGAAGTATAATTGACTCTTCAGCAATGCAGGGATTGGGGCACTGGACTCAACCGCGGCTAGTGCATTCAAAAATATGCGTATAACTTTTGACTCCCCCAAAACTTAACTAGTAACAGCCTATTGTTGATCAGAAGCCTTACTGATAACATGAATCGTCAACATGTATTTTGTATGTTACATCTATTATTTACTGTATTCTTACAATAAAGTAAGCTAGAGAAAAGAATGTTAAGAAAATCATAAAGAAGAGAAAATACATTTACAGTGCTATCCTGTATTTATTGGAAAAAAGTAGCATACAAATGGACCTGTGAGGCACAAAAACCCATGTTGTTCGAGGGTCAGCTGTACAAACAAATGGCGACTACCATTGGTTACATACATTTCTTAATGCAAAAAGGGAGAGTCCAATAAGCACCAGGTTACCTAGGTAGTATAATGGATTTTGAAAAATTGTAGATTTGAAAGGAAATTCTAGAAGTCTTCCCATCATGCAGAAGCATTTCCATATAGCTCCTTAACACGTGGGTTTTTTTCATTCCTTTTTTTATAAGTTTAGAAATTTAGATAGTTTCACTGTAAGAACAATGGCCTCATTTCTGATTTCTTTGATTAATGTTGAAAGTATTCATTTCTTGGTAAGCGGCAATGGTATTTTGTTGAACAAATCTTTGGTTGGTTGAGCATTCACTATGTGTCAAATAGCTGTGGAGAACTGGAATGAATCTCATTGGCTTGCAACAGATTGATGTTCTCATCATCCTTGTTTCACAGATAAGGAAACTGAAGTTCGAAAACATTGTGTTACATAGGCAATTAAGTGGAGAAGCTGGGATTCAAACCCAGGTGGCATGGCTTACAACTCCTCTATGCTGTGGGTACACATGGAACTTCTTTTGGACAGGGGCCATATTTTTCTCATCTTTGTTAAGTGAATGAGTAATCTGAAGATGTATTAGAGAGGACCTGCCTCCAAAAAATGTAGTCTCATCAAGAAGAGATTATTTATACAATATCAGTAACAAAGTAAGATACACACAGAACATAGAAATAAAGATAGCTTCCAGGTAGGTAGGTCAGGAGAGACTTTATGAAGAAAGTTGTTTTGTTTTGATATTCAGATATAGGAGGACATTTCTGGCAGAGAGAAGAGCAAGCAGGTAAATCTGAGTTATCCAGAGAAGGTAGTCAGATGGGAGTTGTGTTTAGAGAATGGTGGGGTTTGGCTCCGGTGGAGTATAGCACATGAAGGGCAGGTAGTAGAAAGGAGGCTGACAAGGAGATTGTGGGTTCTTGTTTCTGACCAGGTTCTAGTTTTCTGGCACATTTCCCCAGTATCTCGTGCTCTAGTCAAGCTCTGGTACTCACAATCTCTTGGAGAGCACCCTGTGTGAACTTCCATGCCTCTATCCTTGCTCCTTTCCAGTCTGCAGTGCTCTTTACCACTTCATTCATTTATAGCCTTCCCTGGGTACTCCAGTGAGAATTAATTTCAACTGCTTTGGTGGTTCCCAAAATATGGTATATGTTTCCAGTTCATAATTATTTCATTCTGTCTTACATAATTGTTTGTATGTTCTCTCCAACTAAAGGGTAACCTTCTAGAAGGCAAGATTAGGTCTTATTTATCATTATATCCATTCTGTCAGTCCTAAGGTCCCAGTTTAATATTTGCATATAATTAATATTTGGGATATTGTGGAATTAAATAATGGAATAGGAAATTATATTTTTTTTGGTAAATATTAAATTAGTGCCTAAAGCTTCTTAAAAGTAAAAGAATGAAGAGGTTAATTAGATTATGCTTTATGGACATACTGTGTTTATGCATATAATGACTTGTAACAAGGAAGACAGAAGTCAAAAATGTATGCTAATCGTATCATTTATTGAATGTTATAGTAATGAAATCATAGGCTCACAATAATTGTTAATTTCTTTTATTAAGATGGTTGAGAATGAAATAATTGATTTTTTTGTTCACTTAGAATATTTTAAAATGACTATAGAGGTAGGGCGCCTGGGTGGCTCAGTCGTTAGGCATCTGCCTTCGGCTCAGGTCATGACCTGAGGTCCTGGGGTCGAGCCCCGCATCGGGCTCCCTGCTCTGCGGGAAGCCTGCTTCTCCCTCTCCCACTACCCCTGCTTGTGTTCCCTCTCTCGCTGTGTCTCTCTCTGTGAAATAAATAAATAAAATCTTAAAAAAGAAATAAAAGTAAAATGACTATAGAGGTATATTTATGCATGTTCTTTTTTTTTTTTAAAGATTTTATTTATTTCAGAGAGGGAGCACAAGCAGGGGGAGCAGCAGGCAGAGGGAGAAGCAGGCTCCCCACTGGGCAGGGAGCCCGATGTGGGACTTGATCCCAGGACCCTGAGATCATGACCTGAGCCACCCAGGCGCCCCATGCATGTTCCTGTGTTTTAAAAAGTCTATTAAAACACTGAGATGTCCCCATTATTTATTATAGACAGGTATTTTAATTGCCATGTAATTGAGTTATTAAAAACAGTCAGATTCTGACTTTGCCATATACCGATTGGGTGCCCAGGGACAAATTATTTAAACTCTCTAAATGTCAATTTCCTTATCTCTGAAGCAAAACAAGAATATCTTGAACCATAATCATGAGAACTCAGTGAAATAATGTAAATAAAGGACTTCCAGTGATATCTGGTATACACTAATGTTAAATAATTATAATTATTTTTATTATTTTATTTTGCCTTGTGTTTAATATGAGCTCTGTAGAAGTTTGCTTAATTTCATGCCCCTACATTGATCATCTTAATCCTAAAATTCTTTTTTCAGTTTTAGTAAAATGAAGACAGTATGTCTAACTACATTACTGATTTTGCTCTGTTTTTTTTTTTTTTAAGATTATTTATTTATTTATTTGACAGAGAGAAAACACAAGCAGGCAGAGTAGCAGGCAGAGGGAGAGGGAGAAGCCGACTCCCCAAGGAGTAGGGAGCCCAATGTGGGCCTCGATCCCAGGACCCTGGGATCATGACCTGCGCTGAAGGCAGACGCTTAACCGACTGAGCCACCCAGGCGCCCCTGATTTTGCTCTATTAAACAAGCTTATGGAGCTTATTTGAATATATGGGAATTCTGTCAATACCATGATCACCAAATAGCTAATGAATATTGAATAGGCTGTTAAAAAATGAAAGTAGAAAATACTAAAGAAAAATGAAAAAATGTTCATATTAATGGTTATAAATTAAAGTTGTAAAATAAAACAGAAATAAGGTATAATTTTTTATCTGATGCATTCATTTTTTAAATGCGGTTATATAGGTTAGAGTTACAGGGACATAAGTGCACTCCTGTTACTCTTGGCAATATGAATAGATACCATTCATTTGAAGGACAGTTTGGAAATGCTTAGTATGAGCCATACTGGTATTTATATTGTTTGACATAATAGTTCAACTCCTGGAAATATGTCCTGAGAAAATAATCTATGAGATAAGTGTGTTTCCAGTAATATTAACTATAATAGTAAAAACAAACAGGAAAAAGCCTAAAGAATAATAAAGATAAATGATAGTATATTACACTAAGGGATTGTTGTGCAGCTGTTAAAAATGCATACTGTAGCAATATTGGAGAATGCATGTCAAATAATATTGACAGAAAAAAGAGAACAAAATGGTGCATTTATCATTGCTATGGATATGTAAAAATGTAAGAAAGGATAATCTTTGCAGGAGAATGTAAATGAATTGTGTTAAATGATTATGAGTGGGTCTTTTTTCCCCTTTTGAAAATTTGCTCAATTATTGAAATGTTTGTGGAATTAAAAGAATAACGGTATGGAAATTTTATTTCTTTTCCTTGGTCACTATTAAATTAGAGCCAAAAACTATTAAAAGAATGAGTGAATAGTCTTTCTAGGCATATTGTATTGTAAAGTTTCAGTGTCAACTTTTAAGAGTTACTTTTATCGTAAAGTAGAAAAAAGTCTTGGCAGCTTAGAACAGGGCATCTATCATTAAAATTACTATGATATGTATATACATTAGTAACATAAGATAAGATACAGATATACAGGGCCTTAAAGAAAAGCCAAGCTTCAAAGGGTAGGACTATTTATAATGTGATTTCTCTTTATTTTAGAACTGATAGATGTCACATGCACCCTGCTGCTTCTAAACCCAGACTTTACCACTGCATGGAATGTAAGGTACGTCATTCTCATCAGTGATCAAATGAAATTGTCCAAATTTCTGAAAATGTATAAACCCCATGAGTTGTTATCTTTTTGAAAAATGAAATATAAACCATGTATCTATGGCATTTTATGCTTATTTCTTCTACCCAATCTTTATAATATCTCTGGGACAATTCTGACTTACACTCAGCTCCTTTGTGCATGTTTCTGTCTTTTCTCCATAAACTTTCCTGTCTGAAATAGAAATTATCATTGCAAATTACAGTATACCATTTGTTTTTATTTTCCTTCCTTTTTAGAGGAGTCGGGGCAGCTAGCGTAATTGGTTGGTTTGTAAGGCATTGGTTTATATATTTGTGAAGTGCAGTGGGAAGTATGTAGGATGAGAATTCAAGGCTATGACCTTTTAGTCTCAGTTTAGTCACTAACATTGTGACCTCTGTGGGCCAGTCACTTGAAGTCTCTGGCACTCAGTATTTTAGGAAGGAATCACACTTTATTAATATCTTAGTTCCTTAATCTAGTTATTTTAGCTTTAAACACAAAATACTTTATAAAAATACCAAAGTTGAGACCAGGTTCATTTTTTTTTTCATTGAAGTTTTTTCAGTTGAACAGTATGTATGGTTTTTTTTTTTTTTTTAAATGGTGGTCTCTTAGACTAACACAAATTCTCCTAGAGGAAAGCAGAATAAAGTTCTAGATGAATAATGAAGTCCTGTTGAACACTGAATACATTTTAAATTTTCCTATAGAAGAGAGCCATAGATTATGGTTCTTAATCTTTAAAGATGACTTAAACAGTACTTTACTCAGTTTTCTGTGTATTTTAAGCAAGGTTACATTCTGAGTTAGTGTTCTATGATACCTACTGAATTTTGTATCTACCTACTGATTTTTAAAAATTAGGCAACTTCTGTTACATGTCTTTTTAAGTCGTCTTTTGAATAATTGATGATCACATATTTAGAGTAAGGAGTAAGAGAAGTATAGAATGAGATATAAGGCTTTAAAATTTACATGATTTTAGAATTCTGATTTTTCTTTTATGGAAAGCACCACCACAGGTAAGGAAAAGACTAATGTTCATGAGTGGCTACTGTATTGTAGGGACATATTACAGCTTTATTCATGATCTCACTTAATCCACACAATACTTGACAGCATTTGTTCATTTATCAAATATTTATTAATTGCTATATGCTGAATTCTAGGCACTGGAAATAGAATATGAACAAGACCCTGTCCTTGTGGAATTTTTGTTCTGCTGGGGGAAGAAAAGAAACAAAGACATTACTAAATAAAATACACATTCGATCAAGTGGTGGTTAAATCCTGCGGAGAAAAAATGGGACAAGAAAGTCGGGAAGACCAGAGAGAGAGTGGGAAGAATAGTATTGCAGTTTTACATAGGGGACATCTGAGCAAAGACTAGCCTGATTTGGGGATCAGTCTGTGGGGTCTGGGGTAAGAGCATTCCACGCAGAGGGAATGGGAACAAGTGGGAAGGCTCTCAGTGGTGCTGAAAGTGTTCCTTGGTGTTCCGGGCCAGCAAGACAGCCAGTACCCAGTGTGGCTGGAGTAGCGGGCATGAGGAAGAGAGTCAGGGACCAGACCTCATGGGCTTTGTCGATCTTCCTACGCTGCTGGAGGAACTTGGACTGCTACTTGGAGTGAGATCGGAAGTCATTACAGCTGAGGAGGGACAGTCTCTCACTTAGGCTTAAAAAGTCTAGGTCCTGTGGAAAGTAGACCGTAGGAGTGCAGGGAGGGGTTAGGAAGTAAGGTAGTGGTTGTGGTAATTTAGGTGAGAGATGCTTGTGTGACTTGAAGTCTAACTTAGCAGTAGAAAAGGTGAGAAGTAATGATTCTCACTGTATTTTAGGAACTATATAAGCTTTGACTGTATTTAATAAACCAATTTTAAAGGCAGATTATGAACTAGATGCAGGAAGGAGAAAGAAGAGGGTCAAGCTGGACTCTGGTGTTTGGCCCGAGCAACTGAAAGGATGGAGTTGCCCTTTACAGAAAGAGATTCAGTCCTCTGTCTGGAAGAGGAGCAGACTGAGGTGGGGAGTGCCAGGTGGAAGTCAGGGGCTCAGGTTGGAACAGGTTAGGTTTGTGTGCAGGAATCTAAAGTTGAAGCAGAAGTTCTAAGCCTGATAGAAATTTGGGAGTCGCTAGAAAATGGGTGGTATTTAAGGCCATGAGATTGTTTGAGGTACCTATGTAGCTGTTGGAAAATTGGAAATTACATACATGGCTCACATTGGTGATTCACATTATATTTCTGTTGGACAGCACTGTTCTAGAGTTTGTGCGATGAGGAAGAATCAGCAAGGGAGACTTTTAGGAGGGTGCTATGAACTTATAACTGAGAGCTTTCTTAAGGGTAGGGATCATGTCTTTATTTTCCTTTGTTTTCCTAGCATCCAGCCTTCTAGTGCCTGGCACATATTCAGTTTGCAGACTGGGCACTGAAAATAATTAAGTTCAGTGAAAATGAAATGAGGGTCTTTATTTTCCTTTGTTTTCCTAGCATCCAGCCTTCTAGTGCCTGGCACATACTCAGTTTGCAGACTGGGCACTGAAAATAATTAAGTTCAGTGAAAATGAAATGAGGGTAATGGAGAAGTAGGAGTACCATTTTTATTCATGTTCTCCAATTCCTCATTATTCTAGAGGACTTGAAAAATCCTTCAACAAGAAACGATTCTTACTAGTATAATACATGCATGTGTAATCATATATGCATACATATATATACACACGTGTATATATATGTAATTTATTATATATTTTATAGGGCGGCTCAATGTAGGAGAAAGAACCTAGTCTTCAGATATGTGGCTCTTTGTCCTTTTTCGTTAATTAACTAGCAGTTGACTTGAGGCAAAAGCTTTAACTTCAGAGCAGCTTTAGTTTCTATATCTGTGAAATAAAAGGTTTGAACTAGGTAATTTTTTTATGATTCCTTTCAAACTGTTTTGTGATTTTCTGTGGTTTCGTTGTGTAAAGGGAAAATTGCTGCATAATCTAACTTCAGTGATATTCACAGCAGTTGATTTTGAAAAGTATTCTAGTAAGATTAATAAAGTTTTGTGCTGGGGTGCCTGGGTGGCTCAGTCGTTAAGCATATGCCTTCGGCTCAGGTCATGATCCCAGAGTCCTGGGATTGAGCCCCATATCGGGCTCCCTGCTCCACAGGAAGCCTGCTTCTCCCTCTCCCACTCCCCTGCTTGTGATCCCTCTCTCACTGTGTCTCTCTCTGTCAAACAAATAAAATCTTTAAAATAAATAAAGTTTTGTGCTAGATGAATAAAAAGGAAACCTTGATTTTTAAAAAGATCCATTGTGGATAGGTATTCTAGTAAGTTTTAATTTGTATTAGTAAAATTAATTAACATGAAGACATAGAATCAGTAGTACATTTTATTCAAAAACCACCAGCTTTGGAAGTAAATTGATCTAACCTTATAAGATCTCTCGCAGATCAAATACTTAACACTTCATGTTTAATTGTTGGTGTGTTTCTTCTGCAGTAACTGGGAAGCACTGAGTGATTTTTAACTGTATTTTATAAACTGTTAAAAGATAGTGTTAATACATCAGTTGTTCATTTTATAGGTGTTGTGGTCTTAGGGAAAAAACAGATGCAAGAATAGGTTTTTGAGTTGATTTCCTGTAATTACAGTGAGTGATGGAGATACTTTTAAAAATCTACCTGTTATAGAAAAATTTGGTACTTTTTTTGCTTTGAAATTCAGTGTCTTATTTTGTGAAAGAGCTTGACTTCATAACAGTGTCCTATTTTTTCCATCAGTCTGTGAACACAGAGTAAGCAAAACCTCTTTGAGTAAAATAGCTAACACCAGGCTTCAGTAATCATGTCCTTTACTCATAGCCTATTACAATTGGTGGCTTTCTTTTATGCAGATTTGATGTTTGGTTCTGGCACTTTGAGTTCATAGACCTTGAGTATAAGTTACTAATTCTCCCCCAGCTTCAGTTTTCTCATCAGTAAAACTGAGATAATACTAGGTTGTGCCATATGAAAATTGTTGTTTTTATAAAACAAAAAGAATTCAACCTAAGCATCCAGATCCTGGTGTCTTATGCCATTCTTTAATAAATGGAAATAGGCAAGATTCGTCTGGAACATCTCAGAGAGCCAGAAAGTAAGGAAGTACTCAAAAAACAAAATGATGGAACTATGTCAAAGGGCTTCTAGTGGCCAAAGCTGGAACAGTTTGAGCAGTATTGGGTTATACCCTAAAGTGTAAAATGGATGTTCATACTGACATATAAATAATTGAAGAAGCAAACAAACAAATAGTAGACAACGGACAATTCTCTCATATAGAAGGATTCTAAATAATTTATCTAGGCAACCCCCTTCAAGGAGTTAGAGTCCAGCTCCCTTCCTCCTTAAGTGTAACTTCCTTCCAAAAAGTACAGTGGAGAAACTGGACACAGACCATCTGAGGTAATCAAGTTCAGCATCAGCAGTGACAAGTCATGCTGTATTTTGTGCCCCTGATACGATGTGATAAAGATGGCACTTTTGTGATCTCTTCCTCCTCAAAACCCTAGTCTAACCATAAGAAAAACATCATACAAAATACCTGATTAGTACTCATAAAATGGCAAGGTATATCTGAGGAGACATAACCAAATATAATGTGATATCCTAGATAGGATGCTGGACTAGAAAAAGGACATGTGGTAAAAACTAAGGAATTCTGAATAAAGTATTGACTTTCAGCAGTAATGTACTGGTGATGATTCATCAATTGTGACCAAAGTACCATAATAATATATTATTAATAAGGGAAGCTGGTACAGGGTATATAAGAGTTCTCTATACTATCCTTAACAACCTTAGTGTGAATTTAAAACAATTCCCAGATTAAAACTTTAAGATTTTTATTTATTTATTTTTTAAGTCATCTCTATACCCAGTGTGGGGCGCAAACTTACAACATGAGATCAAGAGTCTCATGCTCTACCAACTGAGCCAGCCAGGTGCCCCAAAAGTTTATTTAATGAAACAAAAAACAAAAAACAACAATTGAGTATCGGCAATTTCATATATTTCAACATAATACAGGATTGTTTTGAGGATTAGATTAGATAATATATGCAAATCACTTAACACAGTGGCTGATTCAGGAGAAGTTTTCAGTAAATGGTAATTTTTATGAAGATGATTCTTATTATTTCAGACAAAATAAAGATTCAGGGGGGAAAAAGATGGCATTTGTTTATTCAGTCATACTGTGTTCCAAGTACTGAGCTAGCCAGTGAAGATTTAACCATGGACAAGATACACATAGCCCCTGGTTTCCTACAAATTTTAAATCAAGTGACAGCAGAGAGAAACCATAATTAATAGCCTGAGATAGAGAGAAGACAGAAAAACTTTAAAAAATAAGATAAACCAGGGGCGCCTAGGTGGCTCAGTCGGTTAAGCGTCTGCCTTCGGCTCAGGTCCTAATCCCATGAGCCCCTGAGCCGGCTCCTTGCTCAGTGGGGAGCCTGCTTCTCCCCCTGCCTGCCGCTCCCCCTGCTTGTGTTCTCTCTCTTTTTGACAAATAAAAAAATAAACTTTGTAGAACTAGAAAAGCCTTCATGTAATATGCCACAACAAGGTTGCACATACAGCATGGCCTGTTCCCTACTACCCCCTCTTTACAGCACAACACACGTGGCCTTTTCCTTTCCTGCGTACTTCTCCCCCACATTTATTTGACCTTTGTTTTATTCCTTCGTTCTCTGTTTGCAGTGTATCACCTAAGGCTTTCAGGATGAATCTCAAAGCCCAGCTTAGTCAATGTGCCTGAAAATAAAGCCACCTCAAATTTAAGGCAGTACTCGACTTCCTCAATAAGAAAAGTCCCAAGAAAAGATTTTTAGGCTAATAACAATATGTAAATGTAAAGGTATGTGCATGAAATAAGTAAATGTCTTAATATGATACTTTTTAAATTTAGTTACATACCTTTAAAATAACGTGAAGTATTTTAATTACTAGTTTGTCATTTTCTTACATTTCATTAAATAATTTAATTCAAATGTCTCACATGGCTTATTGACATCAGTGACTTTGTCATCACAAGAGTTATTTTTTTCAACTTATCCAGCCTTTTTCCAGAGCATATTCTGTGTGCATATATCTAGCTTGTTTGAGATACATATAGCACTTTTTGAATCCATGTGTGACTGAAATTTTTCTGAAGATAGATCCCTACTTGAATGCATTCCAGTAGTTGATTTTCTTTTATTACATCTCTTGTTTAAAGTGATAGCTATAACGTAATCATTTATTATATTCCTTTTTCAAGTGATCTTTAAAAATTTTGTTTATGGGGCGCCTGGGTGGCTCAGTTGGTTAAGTGTCTGCCTTCGACTTGGATCATGATTCCAGGGTCCTGGGATCAAGCCCCACATCTGGCTCCCTGCTCAGCGGGAAGCCTGCTTCTCCCTCTGCACCCTCATCCCGCTTGTGCTCTCTCTCAAATAAATAGATAAAATCTTAAAAAAAAAAAAAGGTGATTTAAAAAAAATTTTGTTTATGGTAATATTCAACATCTACAGTGTTCAGTCCTGTCCCCAGGAATGTTTACTAAATTGATATTTAAATTTTGCTTTTTTATGATTCTGTCAGGTAACCTTTTTAAGCATCCACATACACCTTTGATTGGGGTTGTTTCAGGCTAAGATATCTTCCCAAACATGTTGTGCAAAATAAATTAAGAGAGCACCCCTAGGGGCATGTGGGTGGCTCAGTGGGTTGAGCGTCTGACTCTTGATTTCGGCTCAGGTCATGATCTCAGGTTGTAAGATGGAGCCCTGCATCCGGCTCCATGCTCAGCATGGAGTCTGGTTGAGATTCTCTCTCTCCCTCTCCCTCTGCCCTTCCCCCTGCTTTCTCTCTTTCTTTTTCTCTCTCTCAAAATGAATAAAATCTTTTTTTTTTTAAAGGAGCCCTAATTGAAGAAACTTTTTAAAGATTCAGTTATAAAGTGGCTCCTCTTTTCTGAAGAAAATTTTGACTATTTCCCCATAGATATATATGGGAGTATAGGTAGGCAGTTGTAGTAAGGAGAGGTTTTAAATTTAGTAAATGGAAATTAGGCTTAATATAGTAAATTATGTACCATAGAGGTTTTTAAACTTTGGTATGCATCACCTGGAGCACTTGTTCAAACACATTGCTTTGTCACTAGTTTTTGATTCAGCGGGTCTGGGATGAGGCTTGAGAATCTGTATTTCTTACAAGTTCCAGATGATGGTAATGTTGCAGTTAAGGACCTTACTTTGAGAAACACTGCATTACAAAGAAGTTAAAATTATACAGAATAATATTTTGCCTCCTTTGAACACTACAGGTATCCTGACTTACTGTATAATGAAACATTACTAATTTCCAGAAGAAGAATGATGCAAGACTGCAAAAGTAATTGGCTGTTGCATTAAATCCTCTTTTCAGTGACACACAGGCTTCCTGTGCATTGAAAGAAAAATAGCCAATAAACCCATTTGTTAAAGTACTCATAAACCTTCTCAGTATCACTTGAAATTATATCCTGGACTGAAGTGCCTGACCTAAAATGATCGTAAAATACAAATATTTGTCATCACTCTTCAGTATTTTCACTAAAAAGAAAGTTATTTTCCTTATCAAATAAAAATCTAGAAATGGCACATTGCTGTTGGAAAGAAAATGCATGGTGGTGATTAGGAACTAAATTCATCTAAGTAGGTGAGGTATACGATCTGGGCTCTGGTCTAATTGGGATTAAAGTTCTCTAAAATAAATGAGTTATCAACCCTACCACAGGAAGGACTTTTTAAGATTAATAAATTCTAGTAAATGATCTAATTTTATTATAATAGATACATTGAAAATTCATTGGGAGTATAATTAGTAAGAGCAGAGCTTATTTATCAAAAACTTACCTGAGAAATTAAATCAAAACCTAAATCGTATTTACTTGGGAAATAATAGGTGGAGAGCTCTTGCATGACGTTCTTCATGATTACATGGGAGCTTTGAACACTTTGAAAACAGCAAGAAAAACCTGACATTGCTCTTTTATTTGTATTTCAAAAAGAAATGGTCTAGTGTCTCAAGGGCCATGCAGGTAGTTCACCTGGTAATAACATCTTTTGGGAACTTCCCTAGGTAGCAGAAATGAAAGACATCTTAAGCACAAAGATCTGTTTCAGAAAAGCAAAAACTTGGAAGCAACCTAAATGTCTAACCAAAGAGGAAAGGGTCATTAAATTACAGAATAGCCACTCAATGAAAACTACCTGGCCGATTTAAATGTTCGCTTTAAAGATTATGTAGCATCATGGAATAATTCTTAAGCTGTAAAGCAGAATATAAAATTATATGTTAAAATGTATATGCATATGAGGAAAGACAGAAGGGAAAATTGAAAAATAAAAATAGTAATTTTGTTAGGGTAGCGAATGATTCTTTCCATCTTAATCATGCTGGGTGTGTTACTCTTTATGTATTTTTTGGTAATGAATCATATCATGTCCAACTTGGGAAGTTAGAACAATTCTTGACTAGTACTGGATCTGCCCTACAGATACTGATGTCAGGCCTTTTAAGTTTTAGAAATGAGACAAGCCAGAAAACCTCTCTTTGCCCTTTCCCAAATAGGTAACTAAAGTTCCACTATTGCTTTAAGAGCTTCTGTTTCTGCTTATTAATCCTGTTACTTCGAGATTACAAGAATACATTCTTGATTACTGTGTGTGATACTTACGAGAGTTTCATGTTTTATTTTTTTTCTTCCCTGTGAGATTATGTTAATAGCCATGCAGTATGTTTGGATGGAAAGGTAGAATAATGGTTCTTTTCATTTTTCTTTTACAGAAAAGAGCTCATCCTCTCTGGCACTTTAAATCCAATTAAGGACTTACATCTGGGAAAACTGGCCTTAACTAAATTTCCAAAGAGTCCAGAAACATGGATTCACAGGTGTGATTAATTTACACTATAGGATTCTTAGGATTCCGAATGGCTGGAGAAACAACAGTGTCAGTCAGGGTCACATACTGGTTCAGAGTATGAATTCTAAAGTCAAGTTACCTACTTTTTAACTCCAGATGCCATCACTTGTTCCCTGTGTGACCTTCAGAAATGATTTAAGCTCTTCAAGCCTCAGTTTTCTCATTCATAAAATGGGAATAGCAGTCACACCTATTTCAGAGTTAATGGTTGGCTTTACATGAAATAATGTATGTTAGCACTACCACGGTGCCTGGCACATATTAAATACTCAGTAAATTTTAGCTATTATTGTTCATTATGAACTATCTGAGCAGTCATAGAAATGGCATTTAGATAGTCAACTATAATGAGCAACTTGGGTTTTATAATTAATTCAGGTGTGTTTCTGGTATAGATGGTTGTAGTTATTAAAATTAACAAAATAACGACGATAAAGGTAGCTGAGGTGAGTGGTGTATAGGCTGCACTGAAGTTGCTAAGACTGTAAATGCAGAGAGTATTTTTAGGTTAAAGGCCTGAGTCAGCCAAAATGCACGTGAAAACGCTCCTCACCATCCTGGCTCTCTGGAGCGTATTCCTCGTGGACTCCATGGAACTATCCAGTTTTGACTAAAATGAGATAGTGTGGGCTGGTGGCTTCTTGGGGTCAGTGGGGAAGTTCTTTAAGAAGTCTGTTTTCAGTTTACTAAGCCACTTACAACTTTTCTTAAATCCTGAGCATTTTTAGGATCTTAGTTCAGGGTATCTTTACTGTAATCTTGGCTTTGGCTAGCATTGCAAATCAGCTACTTCCATGCTGGATGTTTTTTCTTAGTAGAAATTGAGATAGCACTTCAGAGAGGACTGTGGTTGTGTGTGTGGAGGTTTGGAAAGGACTGGTGGCAGGGGAGGGCAGTATTGAATATGCATTCACCAATTTATAGGCTTATCTAATATTTTATATAAAGCAAGCTTTTGTTTTATAAGTTAGGTAAAAAACTTCTATTTGAAAAGGACAAAATGAGTTTTCTTACTCAATTTCTAGTAACCTTTGGGTTGGAAAATTTTAGTCTAAAAGAATGCTTCTTAGGAGAAAATATTTGTAAAAAACTAACCACATTAAGTGGTTAGAGATGCTTTTTTAGTGCCTTTCATTTAAATAAGTATGCTAATGAAAATCTTAAATAGACGAGGGAAAAATTTGTGGATAAAGACATTTAAAACCTCCTGATGGTTTTAACTAAATATATTGTATTTGTGTCCTTCCAGATTCTATGCTATAACATAGAAATTCTGCTTAATGAAAGCAGTCATAATGCAGCTTCTTGTTTGCAAGCAAATACACATAGGGTGAGGCATGCACATGTAATTAAAGATGTGAACCATGACTCCTTTTCTAGTATTTACCAGCCATTAATTAATATCCCCTCCACCACCACCACCGCAAACCCCCCTCCACATACACACCCTGTCTTTGCATTTTCTGGCCAAATGGAGTTTTTGAGCTCTCATACTGGAACTGAAGCATTCTCTTTCTCATAAATTTTAATGTTTTAGAAAGGTTTCTCTTTCCTGTTTGTCCTTTCTTCGCCCTCCTCCCCGTCAGTGGTGCTGAAGTTTAATGACATCTTTAACAACAAAAACAACAGAATAATCCCACTCCCCCCAAATTGAGCTCATAGACAGGGATTAGTTTGCATTGTATGGGTGGAGATTGAGAACAAAGAAAACTGGTTGTTTTCCTCTCTGGTTTGTGTTCTTTCCTCATTCTCATTCCCACGTGTACCTTCACAGGCGATGGGTGCTACAACAGCTAATTCAGGAAACTTCCTTGCCTGCCTTTGTGACGAAAGGAAACCCAGCAGCAATTCCTGCAGAAAGGACACAGAGACTGGTCCGAGAAGAGATGGAGGTCTGTGGTGAAGCGGCGGGGAGATACCCGAGCAACTACAATGCCTGGTCCCATCGCATCTGGGTTCTCCAGCACCTGGCGAAGCTGGACATCAGGGTAAGGCCACGCTTCGTCTCCCGAGGCACAGTCCCTGTCTGCCCTTTAAGTCTTCTGATAGTAGCTCCTCCTCAGAGGAGCTTTGAAGGAGGAAAGTAGAGGAGCTAATGGCCCAGCAGCCTGGGGAGGAGCTAGCAGCTGATACTTCCAAGGAAATCCTGGCAATTTAAAAAAAAGGTTGCATTCCTCACCAGCGCGGTTTCTGGCACTCTTCAGGTTAGTACATTGTAGAACGAAGGCAAGTTTAAGCAGTAAGAAGATGGAGCGTAATTCATTTTGCCCCAGAATAGGAAGGTGTTATTAGGCCTTGTAGCATTGGAGTTGTTCTTTCTTGGTGGGCTCTGGTTATGGGACTTGATGTGCTCCATCAGCCGGCTGCCTTCTCACCGTCCCCTCTCCTGGGGAGGGAAGAGAAGATCTCACCTGGTATTCCCAAACTTGCCTTCGTCTATAAATGACCTTCGGATTTTGGAGTTCCCACCCCAGGCCTACTAAATTGGGGAAAGGGTAGGATTTAAGAAAACCCCTTTTCACAGGGCTCAGGGGGTTATCTGGAGGCAGAGCTGGGTTGGAAGGAATGGGGTGCCTTCACTTACTATTCATCAGGATGAGAACCAGGTATCCTTTGGCTCCTTCTTACGTACTATAGCTTCTATTTTTCTTCACTTCTTACATTTAAGTGCCATAAGAATGTAGGGTACTGCTCTGAAAGCTTCTCAGGCTTGAGACAACTTAAAGGGGTCAAAATACCTTAAGTGGTATTTTCAGATTAATTGGGAAGAACTCTCTCGTTTTGCTCACCAGCCCCTTCCTCCATCCCCCTTCCCAGGTTCCCTCTCCCCTCTCTGTGTCCTAGCCAGGGATTCCTCCAGGGTAAATTAAGAGTTTTCATTTCTGGGGACTTTTAAGCCAACAGTTCTGAAAGAGTAGCGCTTCCCTTCCAGTTTATATTGGCTTTGTGTTTCTGGATGGGAGTCCCCGTGATGGAGTGGAAAGAGCAAAGACAGAATCCTCCTGACCTGGCTTCAGATTTTGGCCTCACTAGCTATGTGTGGAAAAGCTTTCATGTTGTGAAATACCAGCTCCACTGTCCGCCTCAGTGGATTATTGTGAAGATTATTTGAGTTAATGTGTGCAAAGTACTGGGCACCTCATAGAGGCTCACTAAATTTTAGTTCCTTTCTCTGTTCCTCACAGATAGAAAATTTAGGTGAAACTGCCTCCCAGTTAGCTCGATCAACTCAATATAATTTATCCATGAAAAAGTACTGAAACTCTTTCATTCCCAGACACTGCCCTGTATGCTGGGTGTGGCATAATGACCAAGAGATTGCTCTCAACAAATTGAGAATCTAGTTGAGGGAACAGATACGAACACTCACAAAGCAGTTTGACACTTGCAGGCGCTGAGGGAAGCTCAGGGGACAGTGGGAGCACAGAAATGGCTTCTCATCCCGGCTGGGCTCATTGGGAGCAGCTGCCAGAAGGAAGGCTGCCTCGTTGTTAGGAGTCCAAGTCATCTGGTGGGATGTGGGAGATAGGGAGTCCTTAGGGAGTCTGGTCATCTCAGCTCCACAACTTGATAGTGGGGAGGGGGTGGGAGGGGCATGGGGAGCATGGAGGATAAAGAGAAAGGCGGAGTCCAGGTGAGCTGAGCAGTCTTTGGAAACTTGCCTGCCTTGATGTGGCCCTTTTAAAGTGGCATTCCCATAAAATCAGGAACACGGGGCCAAGGTGAAATTCTTGGTTTCTTGAGACTATCCGATGTTGAAGATAACTCGTTAGTGGTGTGTTGACTCAGCTGCCTGAGTCTGCTCCTAGGCTCACATGTTGTCCACCAGCTATGCCCTGCCCTTGGTTGAACTCCATGCCCTTCCTTTCCCCTCTGCTACTGCAGCTCTCTCAGTGAGAGTGCTGAATTTGCAAAATCCCCTTTCTGTTCTTAGAAGCCACTGGGCCCAGCTAGGAGATCATGCCCTACTATGCTTGCCTATTAGAGGAAGCAATCACAGAAGTACCACCCGTCTAAAGCAGCTTAAAAATGCATATAAAATGAGCTGGCAAGCGCCTGGGTGGCTCAGTCATTAAGTGTCTGCCTTCGGCTCAGGTCATGATCCCAGGGTCCTGGGATCGAGCCCCGCATCGGGCTCCCTGCTTGGT